TGGAGTCCTGGTATCGAAGGAATTCTGGGAATGTTGCACAAGAAATGTACGGATTTCATTTCGAATTTCCTCTGTTCTTACACATTAGTCTATTGAGCTCGCTGCGCTCGCTATTAGCTTTTTGCGTGTTCATTCTTAATGTCATACCAGGAACCTTTCTAGATACAATTCCTAAACAAAAACTTTACAAAGTCCTTGCAAAATGTCATAGAACTTTGAAGATATGAGTACAGCGGGCATACATATATCTCTATCAACAGTTCTGGAGAAGGTTGAGCATAAAAATTGCAGGTTCCTTCCCCTACTATCTATTATCACATCATGAAGAATCTGAACAGTATTCTTGGGGAAAAAATGCCAAGAGAGAGAGGGGGAATTAAATACTGACAACTAGCGCTGCTGGATACGGTCTCCTTTCAATAGCCCTATTTTATACAATTTCATGTGTTTCTAGCACATACTAATAAACAATTGATGACAATAAAAACACACAAAAAATATGGGTATAATTAGTGTAACAAAATACTCAGTTGGGTTTCATGCAGACTTTTAAATGCATTATACTAATAAGCACTAACATAGAATGTAGTATTTATTGTAATTGACGGATTTCATTTTCACTGCAGATTTTTGATTTTCTTCACTTGTTTGTCTTCACATAGAACAACAAAAAAATTGTCATTTGTATCTGTACACAGTCCCAAGGGTCTACCCAGACTACATTCTATGTGACGGAGAAAATGTCCATCTTTGTCTATGATATGGACACAGTTATTCTTATTATCAACAATAAAGATATGACTTTCACTATGTGGTGATTCCTAGTGGACAGAATATGTCCTTTGTTGGAGAGGAGTATGTCCAATGTACCTGAATCTCAATTACCCTGCCTGATTAACAACCACTACTGCTTCAGCACTATTGTCAGAAGCACAGATATCCAGATTCCTATTTTCAGCTGCGGATCTGAAATATGAACCAGATGAATCATTTTGTATTGTTTGTTTTTCTATAGAGCCAGAGTAACGAACAATTTTTTATTGTTCGTTATCACTTCTAACCAGGAGGTCACCAGAGGAGGTACTACAGGCACCTTTAGGTGTCTAGCTTTGTAGTCTGATCACCTTCTCTATCTCTTCGTTCTTCACAATATTCACAGTTTTATCAAAATGATTAGTATAAACAAGATCTCCACTTTTTGCCACTGCTATTTCATATGGCCAATTCCCTTACTTTGTTGTGATTGACTTGAGTAGTAATCCCCGATTGATGCTGAAGAGTTTCAGGGTGTTATCAGTTCCACTTGTCCAGATTTCTTCATCATTTACACAATCCACTTTAAAAAAATCAGTTTATAACCAGTGTCTATATGGTTCGTCAAGAAGTTTTTTAACTAGAGAAGAGAATCCAAATTTTGGTGATTTCTGTGTTGTCTTCATGTTGTAGTGAAGTTTCTTTGGTGTTGATGAACTTTGTGATATGACTTCAAACAATTTACTTAGTTCTCCGTGGATTCTGCTTAGTGTGAATAAAGGCAAAGATGACAGGATTATTTTGGAAGATATCTGTATCTGTCTACATGGAAATTTGTACTATATACAATAATGTGGTTCTTAAATGATGTTCAAGTCTTCCTTAGTGTCACCCCCAATTTTAAAAATGTTTTTGTTTATTTCATCACGGCGTTTCAGCAAAGTTTTAAATGTTCATCAACTTTACTTTTTAAATTTATAACGAGTTTGTCAAGAACTGCGAACGATAGTATTGTTCTCCCGCCTACCTCCAAGTCAATTTTCAAAAGTAAACAAATTTGAATGATTTTTCAAATTTATATAGATGTTTATATGAATTTTCATAAAACATTACTTATTTGGAATGAGAGATAACTCTATAATTTTGGTAAAACTTGTGTTTTTTACTATAGAAATCAACGGAAAATGGAAAATATTTTTAAACCATCCCCCCCCCCCCTTGAAACAAAAATTCCTTTTACAGGTAATATGGATTGTTATTTTACAAAATCATACCAGAGCTTTTTGTGTTCCAACGGGGGGGGATATGTTTACAGACAAAAAACAACAAAAATGGTCATTTTTCCACCAATTTCGAAGGGGTTTACGATTTAAATGTTGTACATGTATTTTATCAATTACATATGTTTAATTTTATATGCGTAAAACATAAGAAAAGATTTAAGGGACATTTATCCATATCCAAGAATATTTTCAAATATGCTGATTTTTTCAAGCCCGATTTCAACGGAAAACATCGTCTACCCCCTTATAAAACGAGATGGAATTAAGAAAATTAACTATTTAACACTGGTATTAAAATTATTAATAAATTACCATTGAACTCTACTTTGCATTCAACAAAGATTTTATGGCAAAATTATCATTAGTATTTAATTAAATGGGTTTAAAATGTGGGCGGGAATCGAGAGTTACCGTTCGTAGTTCTTTCTATATGCCAGTCGTCTCCATGTTTTCGTTATTGCCGTTGAGAGATCTTAAACTGACCCAGTCTGTTTTGTAAATCAGTGATTTTTTTTTCCAGGTAAATTGTCTCAATTAATTCATTTTGTTTTCTGTGGAATTTCTCCTTTTTAAATCTACAACATGCAAGATTTCAAAAACTTTATAATAAAAAAGATGACGATTACGGATAGTAATTGATCTTTAAAAAAATCTACAAACAATACCAATCTGTGACAGCTCATAAAACATGGACCCAGAAAATTCCAGAGGTGGGATCAGGTTCCTAGGAGTAGTAAGTATCCCCTTTTGATCGGTCAACCCGCCAAAACTATGTATTGATTAGGTAGTCAAATAATTAAATAACCTAGATGTTGTTCAGATGCAATTAAGGAGGTTGGGGGGTCAACAAATTAACCAAAAATTTACCACCAGATTTAACTTAATTTTTTAGATATGATATCTTAAGCTGTCAACTATCATTTGGCAAAGAAAATTTCCAAAATTTTAGTTTTAAAATTTGATCATTTTCTATATCTTCATATGGAGCTCTTCTTCTAAAGGAGATCAATATAGTCTAAAAATGGCCACAACCCCCAGCCTCTTTAAGGCATACAGAATTGTAACAATGTGTACAATGTTCTACACCTAGGGTAGAGTTGATTTTCTGTCCTTAAAAACGACAATTTTATTGAGGCTTTGGGAAATCAGCAGAAATCGATGAAGTTTGAAACAAAATTTCCAAACCAGTACAAAGGTCATTTCAGATGAATTCAGACATTAACAATTTGAAATTACTATCCATTATTTTTTTTTCTATCTTCAGTTTTTTTTTTCTTAGTTATAGGTGGTTTAAGTTACTTTAGAATAAAAATAAGCTTTATCTTCTATGATAGTTTGTGGGAAAATACTTATTTGTTTGAAGCTTTATTAAAGTTGAAAATTTCAATGCAAATCTATCAAATTATTGAACTCGTGAATGTAACTTGATTTTAGAAAATAACACTACCCTGTTAATAAGAAATTGTTTGTCTCTAGGTAGCCAGGGATCACACTAAACATACACATTTGTTACCAGATGGTTATACTTCATTGATTTCCTGTACATTTTAATATCAGAATTTACACTGTAATTATACTTGTTTACCACATACCTGATTGAAGTTTGTTTTTTCTTTAAGTCTGGGATTGCAACAAAGAATTAAAATATATTAAGTTATGAGTTCATCGTAAGATCAGGTTTTAAGTATGACAAGGCTCAACACTCACTTCTGTCATTTCCACCAAAACACTCATGTGGTCGACATGAAATTAAATCTAGCTTGCGTTGTTGTTTTAGCTTAATCTTTATATCATAGTTTTGTGAAGGTTATGGGTTGCATAAATATCAATTATTGAGATCTAAAAATAAATTACTTGAAATAATACTTGAATATTAAAGAGTTAACAATTGTTTTGCTTTGGGATTAATTACTATACAATCTCATGTAAATATAAATCCATGCAATCTTACAATGTAGTTGTGCACATAGTCCAAATGTTGAGACACATAGTTAATAATTTCATCTTTGTAGATACATGTTACTTCACTGTCATAATATAAAGCTGGATTCAGTTTATTAATCATGTAGAAAACTAAATATTATGACTTTTAAGGATGGTCTACTATAATGGCAGTCAGCAAAACTTTCACATCGGTCATCATTATGGAGGGGTTTATCTACACAAGAGATTCCGTAGATTTGTTTGGTTATCCAGCCTGATCCAGATCACTCTGAAGTCTCACTTGCTTAACTGAATTCTAAACATTTATATTAAATCAGCATCTTTAGTGTCCAGCATATTCACGTGTAAATGTAACGAGTGCAGATATCTTATTTCTGTGTGGGGGGACGTTTTAGTAAGATATAATTTTCCCTGGCATATGGTGCACAGTTTTCCTGATAAAATATTTTTAAAAATGAATGTTAATAATAAACTATTAAATAGGAAGGGAGTTAAAATGTACTATAGTCATTCTTCTGTCAGATTTATCAAGTGATTTACCTAGCCAACACATCAGTTTTATAAAGGTTTGCTTGGTATTATAATTATGAGGACTTGCATTGACAATGAAGTCACGAACCCATCGTGGTAGTCTAGTGGTTGGATGGTAATGCTTGAGAAGCGTGCGTTCTTTCAAGTAAATATAATACTCCGCTATCAATTTGAAAACATTCCTGAAAACAACTGTACTTTTTTCTAATTCAATTTTCAGATAGTTAGGGGAAATTTCTTTACTTCGAAGAAATTTTGTTTAAGAGTTTTAAGACTAAGCCTCTTTTTGTTCATATATATCTTTATCTATATAAATATATCCTTTTTTTGTTGCTGTTTTTTCCTGCGATCTCTCTCTACTCTCATAGATATGAAAGGAAACCCTTGAGAATAAATAGTGACTAAAACAGTTTAGAAATGTTTGTTTATGCAAATTTTTTGTCCAGTGTAGCTTGATTTGATGAAAACAATTACATAACTTTTGTTTTATTATTACAGGTGACGATCATGTCACCTTTCCCTTTATCCCAGAGTCAGAGAACCAGCTAAAGCTGGGACAAGGATTAGCAACGGAACAGCAGCGGCGGCCCCAGCCACCACAAGCGGCAGAACTCTCCTCCTGGGTCTCTCTGTGGTGGTGATGGTAGTAGTAGTAGTAGTAGAAGTGGTTGTCTTGGAAATAGCTTTTGATTAAAAAAAATAATAAATATAAATCTGATGATCATTTCTAAATTTATGAATCAGTATAAATATCTTTCAAACCAAGTAAGACGCTCCTGCCAAAGAAAATATACAATTTTAAATATATAAATGATGGACGGCCAGCAAAATTGAAATGATGATGGTCATATACTATTCATGATTTAAAACTTGTTCAAAAGTGTGTATTTTATCTAAACACTTTGTAATTCACTGTCGTAGATATCATGATATCTTGTCAAATGGATTTGCCTTTATTAAAAAAAGGAACAAATCTAAGAAAAGAGAGGGAAAAAAATTCAGAGAAACCAAGCAAAATATAAAAGATCACAGACTAAAAGCACGAAAAAATATACGGTTATGTACTTACCTTCGCATCTTTCTCCTTCAAACTCTGGAAAGCACTCACACTTTCCATTTAAGCAATCTCCACCGAAATTGCATTGCTGTGTAGTTTCGCAGATTCCTATAAGAAAAATATAGGAATCTAGACTTGAAGAAATTAAGTTAAAAATTTTCTCCGACTGAATGTATGCTCTGAATCAAATCAGATTGTTGTTTCCAAAACTACCTCGTTCTGACAAAATTGTAGCTTATAGAAATTTAAATTATAAAAGGAAACATATTAAATTCCACACAATAAATACCGAATTATTAATTGTAATCACCAATGCACTCAGGTTCCCCATAAACTCCAGGGGGACATTCACATTCTCCAAAACCGGTCTCTCCTAGCGTACATTCCGTGTTACCTGGACACTGGGTTGTTTCTCCGATATCATCACATTCCCCTAAAATATTTATGGAAATCGAGTTTTTAAGACAGCAATTATTCACATTTTTTACTCGCACATTTCTTTTATTTACTACATATACTGTGGTTGGGGGAAAAAGAGAAATAATATCAAGAAGGCAACGCGGGTGAAAATTAAAAGCAAGATGTTATAACGTTATCTGAATAATGTATGTTAAGTAGCGAATTCTTTAATAAGAATAAAATTCGAACCCTGTGAAATCCTTACATGGAATGATATAATGAATTAGAAATGAAAAGGTATGATTTCTTATTTGACCTTTTGTTTAGGTCTGTCAACCATACAATCAATTTGTTCGATTTATTGATTAAGACATAATTATAATTTGAGAGGTCTAAAAAGAGTCAAGAACAAAACACAAACCATCTACTTCTCTCACACTTTCTTTGAAAAACGAAATTTCGAATTAAAGAAATTTATAATAAGATCAGATGAGCAGGGAAAATTTTTTTTTTACATTTTATGGACTATCAATTGTTTTTTAAAAGGGTGGGGCAAAAAAACTTCCTAATGTCAGACAACATTAATATAATGCCTTCCATTACTCAACAGATAATCCACTGAATCACATGATAATATCATGGTTCACTCTTTACTTTACTAAGCAGCCATTAACTCCAGCTGTTCTATCTGTGGGTAAGTCGTAAAATCCATCCTGGCACAAACATCTATGTGGTGTTTGGAGACCAGGTCTTCCAACAATCTATTGGAATTCCCATGGGTACCAATTGCGCCCCGTTATTAGCAGACTTTTTTTTTGTATTCATATGAAGCAGAATTTGTCCAAAATCTTGTACGTGAAAAGAAGAAAACACTTGCTGTGGCCTTCAACTCGACATTTAGATATATCGACGACGTATTGTCAATTAACAATGGCTATTTCTATTCTTATGTCGATACGATATATCCTAGTGAACTTGAGATAAAATATACCACAGAGTCTGACACATCTGTTTCATATTTGGATATTTTACTTGAAAAAGACGTTAATGGTAATCTAACAACCAAGCTTTATGATAAACGTGATGACTTTAACTTTTCAATCGTCCACTTCCCTTTCTTATGCAGCAATATACCTTCATCACCTGCATACGGGGTATATATCTCTCAGTTGATTCGACACGTAAGAGCATGCTCTACGTATGTACAATTTCTAAAACGAGGTAAATTATTGACATATAAGTTGATGAAACAGGAATATCAGCTGTCTCGTTTAAAGTCATCATTTCGAAAGTTCTATGGTCGATACAATGACCTTGTCAGCAAATACAATTTATCATTGAGTCAAATGCTGACTGACGTTTTTCATACTAATTGTTAGGCCATTATTTACACACTGAATTGTCGACGGATTTTTCTGTTATTTCTCGATTATGACAAGGAGCACACGGCGGGTGTGACTGGTCGGCAGGGGATGCTCACTCCTCCATTGCACTGCAAAGGAAAACGGCACAAAACTGTACTGTACTGACATGCCTGGATTGAATTTAAAGAATTGTTATCTAACCTTTAAAGTCTTATTCCCTTTTTTGATCTTGAAAAGTCGGAGAGGTTATGAAAATAATCATGTGTACTTGACTCTCCATTATTTTAGCATATAATTATGTTTGTACTGTACTTAAAAGTGTTTAAATCATGCAGCATTCGATTTTAATTATTAAGTCGTCCATCTATAAATTTCAGATTTTTTAAGTTGAAAAAAAATTCGGATCTTTTTCAATTATTCATAATGAACCCTATCCCTTATGTGAATTTTTGGACATCAAATCATATGCAAGTGATAAATGTACTGTAATAAAATTGTTTACGGAATTAAGAAAAATATTTTAAGTGAGGAAAAAATGCATGTTTATGCCCAGTTGTCTATCGAAATGTCATTAAAAATAGATATTTTCCCCTGAAAATATATAATATTTTGAGAAATATCCAGTATGCTTTCACGATATCGAGGCTGTCATGTGAAGTGCATTCAACTCTCTAAGCCCGACAATATTTTGTCTAAATTCAGCAGTAGATGATGTTAAACTCTGCACACATCACTGAGCACGGATTGACAATACTGCTGAGTTGGTTTTGTTTTCTTACATTTCTACTCTGGATTTTCTGGGTTATAGTTTTAATATTTTTCATTAATACACACCAAAATTTTCTACTTTTCTTGAGTATTAAGGATAACGTTTGTGAATGTGCAAGGATGTGTCAGCCAAACGCGCTCCGAAATTTGTGGTTTCAATAATTTTTAGATAAAAAAAAGTTTCTGGACACTCTTTTATTATATTTTCATGTGAAATACTATAGCAACATGTAAGTCAAGATATTATAGAGAAAATTTGAAAAAAAAATATTAACTACAAATCTATGTCCAGGCCCCTTATGGCAATAAATCAGTTTAACTCTACATGGCGGTCGTCAGTGGGGTGGAGAAGTGACACCGTCACCAATAGTTGGGACAGTCATTGGTGGCGGATGCTTTTGTGTGCATGTGGCATTATCGTCCACCCCACCTCAAATGGACGAATGCTATTGTTAACTCGTATAATTCTTGTGGCGCAATTGTCGCATTTCCTTTGATTTAAAACACTGATAAATTTCAACATTGAAATTCCCTGGATATGTCAATGGGATATTGGCCCATTGAACAATAATGTATTTAACATTGCTAACAATGTTAATGGGATATTGGCCCATTTGACATTGCTAACAATGTTAATGGGATATTGGTCCATTCATTTGACATTGATAACATTGTTGATGGGATATCGGCCCATTCATTTGACATTGATAACATTGTTGATGGGATATTTGCCCATTCATTTGACGTTGATAACATTGTTATTGGAATATTGGCCCAATGTACCCAGCGTGGCGTTCTGCAGTCGTGAACTTAACCCAGTGCACAATTTAGCCCACTTGAGGTCGCCACTTTTGTTGATGATTGTTGGGAAGAAGACCCGGCGGCCGCTCCCAAATTTGTCATAAATTATGTCACCGCGACCAGATGCCCCAAACTTTAAATAAATATATTCAACTAGAAAAGAATTATTTTTAACATCAGAGATAATGATATATATATTTTCAAAGTGTTATCACAAATTCGAAATTTAACGATATTTTGGGCAAATTTGAATGAAAAAAAGAAGAAGCTGTTTTACAGGCGTACTGTCTCTTTAAAAATGATAAATACAATTTCAATGAATATATAGAATTAATATTTGTGTAATTGCTCAGTGCTGTCTATAAATTCATTAGTTATTGTTGGTTTAATCTATGTACAAAATTTCATTAATTTATGACACCGGTTTTCTACAAAACTACGCTTGTCTGTGGAATTTTGGGACAACCCTCGCTTTGTATTGTTACTTATAGAAGAAGCTTAGTCAGGGCCCCGTCCTTGGTAGTTGCCTTATACTATATCTTTGATGTGTAGGTCTTAGAAATAAATGTTTATAGAAAAATTTATATTCATTCAGAGGAACTGCAAATAATAGCTCCGTGTACAAGCCCCACCTCCCGAACCACCCCAAATTTAATTTGAAAAATTGGTTGATGTCCTTATTGAAAAGCAAAATAACTTTTATCAAGTACTGAATCATTAACATTATTATTGCCATTTAACTCGGAAATCAACATTTCTGAAAGTTAGGAGAAATATGTAAAAAGAAAAATGGCTGAGTTTTCAGAAAGATATTTTAAAACTAAAATATGATGTGATTTTAACCAGTGAATTTGGATAGAAGTTTTATTTTTTCAAAGAAGATGGGCGAACAAGGCGAACGGAATGTCTACAAGTGTATGGTGCGACAAAAATGAAGGTGAAAAATTAAAGCTCAATTATTATAAAATTTTCTTTGATATTTTATCTAACACATTAAAGTATCTCCACAATTCGCAAAAATCTCACAAAAATTAAAATTATTTGCCTATGAAATAGCATACACAAACCAAAGACCACAAAAAGGATCATTTTCTCATATAATAACTGTTACAGAATTTTTTTGTCTATGTAAGTGGGTCTTCGCTCCATTTTTTGAAAGTTAAATATCCTCAAAGTTTGCGTAAAAAATCACATTTGTTCGTTAACAAAAACTATACCTTAAGACACAACCTTCGTATCTTTCCGAGAAATACTTGAAGTTTATTTAGTCAAAAGTCATATCAGAAACATAGTTTAAATCCCACAATTCATCACGAGTTGTGTAGCGTAGTGGTTAGCGTGTTAGTCTCAAAAAGAGAAAAAAAAAAGCGTGTTAGTCTCAAAGGACTCAATGGTACTCAGGATTTTTATTGCTAGGATTCGAACCCTAAGAATACCACATTATCTTTTCAATAATAGAATAATTTTTGCTGAGACAATTTTCCTCATAAAAATTTGGTTTGTCATAACTTCATAAATTTCAAAAATGAGAACTTTACTCTGAATACTCACAAATTGAATATGATTTTTATATATCTGAAGCATTCTGCACGCCTTGTTCACCCATCTCCTTTTCAATTGCAACCCATTTTCACAGATTTGTATTGTTTATTGGTTTTTTGAAATCGATCACTGTTCGTTATCTCATTTATTTTCTTTGATTACTTTTCATTAAGCTATTACCGACACCTGCGACTTACTTTTGCAAAAGATGTGTTAGTTTTTGTCAGAATTTCATTTTAAGATAGACATTTTTAATTACGTATATTTGCAGGAGTTTACGTTCCTTTTTATGACAGGCTGTTAAATAATCTGTGTTTTCAAAATGAGTTTGGCCACAGCTACTAAGCATCAAATAATTTTAAGCTATATTTGAGAATGTGAATAAACAAAATCGCTTAAAATGACTGAAACTTTAACATTATATGCTGATGATGCACAAGCTTTCGAGGGCTTTAGTTGCTCTCGGATCCCCTCCAGGTTTTGCCTTGTATCCTGACTACCACATCAAGCATCCGTATATGTCACAGGCACTTGTTTTTGTAATAATTGTTTTACCCAAAAGTACGGTGAGGTAAAACTTCATTGCAGAAACAAGTATAGAATCTATGCTAGATATCATCCCCTGGCTTTCAATTCGTAAATTTATCCATGCACATGCATTGTTACAGACCACAAAAAGAAGAAAAAACAACAAAACAAAAACAATTTTAAAAACAACAACATCAAAACAGCAGTTCACCATCTTTAAAATAAATTCAATTACAAGTACTTAGTAAGGGAGAGGGGGTGTTTATATATTTAAGAAATCTTCATTTTAAAATTTTCATCGGGGTGTAAAGTCGGGTTGGTCATGTGATCAAATCCAACAAAGCACGAAGGTATGTTTATATACAGACATATTTACATTTGCAAATATTTTTCCCTTATATAACATTTGAGCAGGGAGTATTTACATATATGTATAAACAGGTTCGTCACCTGACCAGTTTAGTCATAAACGATTGACGCAATTTCATAGTGAGATCATAAGTGGTCGACGTGTTCAACAGGATTAATTTATACCGTTGAGGTTTGAAAAATAAATCATTTCATGGTTTTAAAACCATAGTACCCAAATATTTGTTAAAAATCAGTCACAAATGTAAATATAAGTAATATGATATCA